TACATCAACAAAAGAGGAAAGGTTTGCCCTTGCTGTTTTTTGTCATAATTCTTCATGGACTCCTTCTTTTCCCTTGTTGTTTGTCAGTTTTTTTTTGTTTTTTTTTGCAGGACGAAATTTTATTCCTAAAAATCTGTTCTTTTTTAACAGAGACCTATAATTTAGTATATATTATATGTCAGTGATATTGTTTAATCCCCTAAAGAAAATTCCCAATTACTAAAAGAGTCATATTTGTATGATGAGCTTACAAGCCTTTTTCTTAAGTTTATTAGCATGATTCTAGTTATTATTAATATATCAGTAGAACAGATGAATCTGTAGCCAGAAGACCAGGATTTATTTTTTTGTGTTAGGATATTAAATGATTGTTGACATTTAAAATTTAAAATAAGGCACAAAGATGGACTTTTATCAGGTTGGGAACAACACCCCAAATGAGTGGTAACCCCTCAATGTAAGGACATTAAAAACCAATTTTAAGTACAAATGAGCATATATCTATATTATTTGAAGAAACTTTTCCTAAAGAATTATACATCTATCTGGTATTATATGGTGAAAACATGTCCAAGAATTTCGTAATGTTCCTGGATTTTTATCTTCTTTATCATGTTTAATATTAAAAATAATTGGACCCCTCATTTAGAAAAGACTTTAAAGTTGTTCCAAATATAATGAATTCTCCCACTTTTAAGTTAAAAAATCTAAATTTTTCTTTTTTACAACAGTAAAATGACCCCTTGTCCTAATGTCTTGGGTACAGTCCCTCATTTAAGGGGTATACCCCTCATTTGGGGATTTGTTGCGATCCTGTTTGTTTGGTCCTTGTGAAAAATGAAGTATTTTAAATGATTTGCCCCATTTGGTAATTTAATTGAATACAAAAATGACATATGTTACAGCAAGTGTAATGTCAATAAATTAGTGAATAAACTACTATTTATTATCTTTATGTTTGTAATGCATCATTGAATTTTGTCAGTCAGCCATGCTTTTATTTTTAAGCTGTTTAAGAACCTCCTGGCAGATGAAAATTAACCTTCCATGTTCACGATTTTACAATCCTCTAGGAATACAACACAAGTTCAAAATCTAGCATGTTAGAATAATCTTAAGAGAAAACGTTTTTGATTGGCTTATTAATTTGATCATGAGAGACACAGAATTTGATTAGCTGATCACGATTGTCTTCCCTTGGGAACAGTTCAATATCGAGAACAATCATATTTCGTGTAGATTTTCACAAAATCGTGTTTTAGAGGTTTTTTCACGATCCCAATCGTGACAAAGGGTCAAAATCGTGTAGTACACGCCTAAATCGTGAAAGTTGGCAGGTATGATAAACAAAACTTTGAATAGCCCGTCAGACTACTGTGATGAAAACTTTACTAGCCCTCCCTAATTTTTACTAGCCTTGGGCTAGCGGACTAGCGTTAGTGTCGAACCCTGTTTGCAATAAGGACCAGAAATTGAACTTTTACAAAAACAGAGATTTATAATATTACTATTCCCTCAGAAGCATGATATCAGGAAATGTTTTGTGTATTTTAGCCTACCTGGGCCTATAAGGCCATGTGTGCTTTTCAATATTGCCATCATTTGCCTTCATCTTCCTTTGTTGTAGAATTCTTCAAAAATTATCTCCTGAACCAATTTCAACCAAATGTGGGTTGATTGATCCTTACAGTATGTAGTATAAAGTTTGTGGATTTTTTTCCCAGCCAATACACAAACATGGTTACCATGGCTAAAACTATAACATACGGGTAAAATGCATTAAATCTCTTGAAAACTGTAATAGATACTGTGGATTCATTATTAATCATTGGATACCAATTTTCATGGGTTTCGTTGGTACAGGTGAACCACAAAATTAGATATTCAACGAATGACAAAATTCCTATAGGCTTCTATGCAGACTTCGAAAAAACCATGAAATAAAATATCCACGAACATGTAAGTTTTCCTTAATCCACAAAAATTGGTACCCACGAAAATAAAAGAATCCACAGTAGAGAAAATCTGAAAGGGGGCAATAATGCTCAGTATGTGAAGATCTTCCTTCATCCTGTTTGAACCAAAATTATCAGATAACTTCTTATACCCCACACCTCATTTTATTTATGATCAGTCTACATTTAAGTTACTTATACCCCACATCTCATTTTATTCATGATCAGTCTACTTTTAAGTTACTTATACCCCACATCTCATTTTATTCATGATTAGTCTACTTTTAAGTTACTTATACCCACATCTCATTTTATTCATGATCAGTCTACTTTTAAGTTACCTATACCCCACATCTCATTTTATTCATGATTAGTCTACTTTTAAAATACTTTCTCATTTCTCATTATTATACCCACGCTTTAAAAAAGTGGGGGTATACTGTTTTACCTCTGTCTGTCTGTCCATCTGTCAGTTCATTTATACCCCCATTTTAAAAAAGGGGGAGTATACAGTTTTACCTCTGTCTGTCCATCCATCCATCAGTCCCATGAATATTTTCGTCGCATCTTTCTCAGGAACTACATTACAAAGATTTCTGAAATTTGGTTTCAGGGTTTATATAAGTCAGCTATACTGTGTGATGCGTTTTCAGATTCATCACTCAACAACTTCCTGTTTACCAAACACTTGTATCATTTTACACATGATAGCCAAGTTTTTCTCAGGAACTACAATACAAGGATTTTTGAAATTTGGTTTCAGGGTTTATATAAGTCAGCTTTACTGTGTGATGCATTTTCAGATTCATCACTCAACAACTTCCTGTTTACCGAAATATTTGGGCGGGGGTATCATCAGGGAGCAGTAGCTCGCAGTTTCACTTGTTTATTTTATTCTCAAGACTGAAAGTGCCACCAATTGTTATGGAAAAGAAGGAATATTGTGTATTGAATCTTGACACAACATGCCTTCATATGCTTAACAAAAGGAACAGGTTTTATTGCTGTTCTTCATCCAAAGTGCTGTGTAAATTTCTTTTGAAAATCAGTCTGAATTAGAGATTGAACCTTCACAATCATGCATATATCATTTATATCCTGTCATTCCTTATTTTTAGACCTCAAGTCATTGGCCATGGATGATACTCATTTAACTTTAGATCAGACAGGTTTTTCTGACACATTGTGTTCTCTAGAAGAGTCAATAGACAACATAGAAAAGCTAGATCAGACTGCTTCATTAGATGAAACACATCTCACACTTGATCAGACCGGATTCTCAGAATGTTCCGCAGATGAAACACATCTCACACTTGATCAGACTGGATTTTCAGAATATTCCCCAGATGAAACGCATCTCATACTTGATCAGACTGGATTTTCAGAATTTTCCCCAGATGAAACGCATCTCGTACTTGATCAGACTGGATTTTCAGAATATTCCCCAGATGAAACCCATCTCACACTTGATCAGACTGGATTTTCAGAATTTTCCCCAGATGAAACACATCTTGCACTTGATCAGACTGGATTTTCAGAATTATCTCCAGACGAAACAGTTTATGATGAAGAATTTCAGGGTAATATGTCATGTGTTGACCTATGTGGATTTTGTATAACTTCAAAGGTCTTATCTTGAGAAGCATTAGTGAGTCTAAAAGTCTTGGATTTTGACTGGACATTTGGTTTAGTAAATTTTCAGCCTAATCTGGACTACAATTTTCCAAGCCTTTCCTAGGTTTACTTGAAGGCTTATTGATTTTTACTGCTGAATATGTACTGCAGAGAACAGTAAAAGTGCTTACTGCACATTAACTGAATTTTAGAATCAGCAGCAAGGACCATCAAAAATTGTGTTTGAAATCTTTCAATTGAACCACTATTATCGAGAAGATTATGGTTTTATTTTACCCCACACACTAATAGATAGGGCTATATCACCTGTTCTTTGTCCGTCTGTTTCTCAAACAAATATTTTCATCACAGTAAAATTTCAGTCAAGATTTGAATTATTTTTCTCAGGTTTCCCATGCGTGAAACATATTCTTGTCAAAGAATGCCAAAGAGGGTACACATTTTGTGTTGTGTTTAAATCCAATGGTTTTCCTTCAACATTATTCAAACTTTGCACAGTGATAGCTCACATATTGAATATGTGTACTTCCTATTTTGGACAGATTAGAATATTGTTAAGCGTTCAAACTTAACAGCCAATTTATTAGTAGGGTGGTTTACTGGGTTAGGTCTGTCTGTCCATCTGTCCCACAAAACTTTTGTCACACTTTTCTCAGAAACTGCAATGGAGAGCTTCCTGAAATATGGTACTAAGCTTCATGTGAGCATGCTATACAGTGAAACTATTTTCACATTTATTTCATATCTACTTCTTGTTTCTTCTGTTTTACAATGTGTGGAACTTTGTTATTTTTGTCATTGAATGCTATAGAGGTGATACTCCCAACTGTTTCCCATCAATGTTATTCAAACTTGGCATTTGGATCCAAATGGATAAACTTGTTTCATATATATCGGAATAATTTCATAGTTTTAGTAGATTGCTACGTAACATTTTTATTAAGTGAAAAATAACGATGTCTGCTAGTATTTCCATGAATCACCTGTTTTCTGAAGGTAGGGGTATATATACATCTGTGTATTGCATACAACCTTAATCCTGCTCCTTCAGAGAGTTGTATAATGCTTTATGTCTATCCATCCCTCCATCTGTCTGTCCCATGAAATTTTTGTTGCACTTTTCTCAGGTACTACAAATCAGAGCTTCCTAAAATTTGTTATCAAGCTTCTTGTGAGCATGCTATACAGTATGATGCATTTTCACATCCATTGCCCTTCAACTTTCTGTTTACTGAATACTTAAAGCTGAGATATTATTTGTGATATTGCTCACAGTTCAACTTGATTTCAAGAAAAACCCTACACACCATACAATTTTACTATAATTTTATATCTGGCTTCAGTGCTATAAAGATAAAAAACCATTTATCTCAGTTGAATAATTACTGTTTTTATTTTATCTAATTTTAGATGCACAAGAACCAGTAACACATAGTTTGAAAGACATGAAAGTTATAACTTTGAAAGAAGGAGAAAGAATCTCAGTAACTGTTAGTCATAGTGACAGCCCAAGTAAATTCTACGTAAATTTAGAAGAAAACGTTACCAAAATAAACACCTTAATGGATGATATGTTCAATTTTTATTCTAATATACCTGAAGAGCAGTATGAAATAACAAAGATAGAACCTCAAATGGTTTGTGCAGCAAAGCTTTCTGAAGATGACACATGGTATCGAGTCAAAGTGACATCAGTTGATGGAGAGAAGTGCCATGTTTTCTATTTAGATCATGGAAATTCGGAAGAAACTTCCATAACATGTTTGAAACAGTTGTTGACAAAATTTGCAGAATTACCCATTCAGAGTATTCCATGTATATTGTCTGGTATTGGTGCTTCAGGAGAAAAATGGAGTGATGAGGACTTGACACTATTTACTGAACTCACTAGCGATAAGTATGTATCTTTTATATACACAGTGTAATGCAAATATTGGTTGCTGGATTATTAGTTTCTTCTTTTATACTTATGACATCCTTCTCTGATAGAAGTGGTGAAATTTTTGTCGCATTTTTCTCAGAAACTTCAAATCAAGGGCTACTAAATACTTGGTATCAAGTTTCATGTATATAAGCCTTGTGTGAAAATAATGAGATATAAAAATAAGGAGATGTGGTATGGTTGCCTATGAGACATCTATCCACCAGAGTTCAAATGAAGTGGATGTAAGCAATTATTATAAAAGGATGAGAAATGTGTTGAAATTTTAAGAAAGGATCCACAGGAAAGATTCACAGAATTGTACAACACATCATGCACGTCTTCAAATGAACAATAAGACAAACTTAACTGAAAATGTGTAAGAAATTATTATGGGTCTTCTTTTTATGGTACCACCATTCTCAAATAGTCATCATGCAATGCATGTTTATGTGGGAAAGACATGATCTGGAAAAACTTTGTAAAGGTTTTTTGACATTTTTTGTTACAGGAGCTTACTTGCAGATATACTTGGTCATGGAAAAGGTAGATCATACATTGTACAGTTGTTAGATATGGGTATATCAGTCAACCAGTCAATGATAGAGAAGTCACATGGTATCATAATCTCAACTCCACGTGTTAACACCAAAGTAAGACGAGTGTTCTCAGACTCCAGTGATATTGCCAGTCCTATGAGGATGAAGATGCCTTCTCTAACCACAGATGAAGAATCCATACTGGAGGATACATTTTATGGGTACCAACAATATTTGTTGTACATATACTGTAAATTCAGAAATTATTGTTTGCATTTATTGTTGCGATTGTTGAAAAAGTACACAAATGCAGGATTAATTATTGTGATTTCTGTATACAAAAGAGAGGCGAAACCAAAGGGACATTCAAACTCATAAGTCAAAAATAAACTCATGACGCCATGGTAAAATAAGAAAAAGACAAACAGACAAACAACAGTACATAAAACACTGAGCAACACGAACCCCACCAAAAACGGGGGTTGTTCTCAGTTGCTTTGGAAGGGTAAGCCGATTCTGCTCCACATGTGGCACCCTTAGTGTTGCTCATGTTAGTACAAACCGGGTGGTAAGTCTAATTTGATAGGTCACATTCAGGGAAAAGAGGACAGGATTGTAGTTACGATAATTGGAACAAATCCATTGTCATCTGTGAAACGGATATTCCATAACAGTCAACCAACTCGTGATTGCGTCCGTAAAATTTATGAAGGGATGATTTCAACTTCACCACTTGGAACTCTTGGTTTAATAGCTTCTTTGTGATCAGCAGCCCTCTATCAAGGAAATCATGATAGGAAATAATAGCCCTGGAATATCGTATCAACTGGGAGATATATACTCTGTATACTGCTGGAATGTTGCTACATAGAAATTCTATCAAAATTCAAAAAAATTAACATGAATCATCAATATTTTAAAAATTAACATGAATCATCAATATTTTAAGTCCTAGGTTTAAATATGTAACAAAAGTATTTGCTTGGAATTAATCTGTAAACATGCAAGAATTAGCAAAAGTGAAATGTAAACAAAGCTTTACCTACAGAGAACAGTTATTTAAGTTATGATATTACAGCAGATTCCATTGAGTGTGTAGCCAAAGGTAATATCTTTGGTTAGCTTGCTTGTTAGCTGAACCGTGAAGTCATTGTAAGGTTAGGTAAACTACCCTACTTTAAGAATAGACTAGTCCGACAGAAAACCAATTGATCTGTCTATTGGACTATGCTACTTCGAAAGGAGGGTAGTATACCTGACCTAATAATGACTTCACGGTTCAGCTAACAAGCAAACTAACCAAAGATATTACCTTTGGCTACACACTCAATGGAATCTGCTGTAAAAGAGTTTGTTTTTGTTTTTTCTTAAATTGTATTGTATAAATTAGGCCTTTAGTTTTCTTGTAAGAAATTAAGGCAAACCTTGTATTTCTTAAACATATTTCTAAATATTTTACATCTTTTTCTACCTTTTAGGTATTCCAGATTGACCTATGAAGTTGATAAAGATTACCCTGTGAAGGTGTCCCAAATAGAAAACCCCACCTGTTTCTGGTGCCAGATAGTGGATCCAGAAAACAAACTTGAAAAACTCATGAACAGTTTACAGGATAAATACAGTGATTCAGTGGATAATGTGGCTGAAATAGATACACCTTGTGTTGCCAAGTGTAAAGGTGATGGTCGCTACTACAGAGGTGTCACTAGATCAAAACTAGAAGATGGAGAATTAACAGTATTATTTGTGGACTATGGAAGTACATATTGTGTAAAGGCAGAAGACGTGAAGGCAATCAAAAGTGGTGATATTGAGCTTCCTATGCAAGCTGTAGACTGTATGTTACATGATATTGACCTTGATGAATCTCATGATGACTGGGATGAGGAGGCTTGTGAATATTTTGAGGCTCTGTGCGAAGATAAGACATTAACAATGAAAGTCAAACAAGCATGTTACGAAGGAATATCCGTTTATCTATATGATGGAGATATAGATTTAAGTAGTCTTTTGGCAGAAAATGATTTTGTTAATCTTATATCGCGGGAAAACAACAGCCTTGTTTCCGTTGAAGAAAAGACACCTGTAAAACGAAGCCCTAGGAAGGACGTTACAGCAGAAGTTCTAGGACGTTTATTGTCGACAGATTCTGAGTACCATGTGATTATTTCCCATGTAAATGATCCATCAAATTTCTATGTGTTGTTTCAGGATAGTGCAATTGAATCTATTGAAAAGGCAATTAACAGTCATATTGCAATGAACCCAGACGATAATCTGCCTGAGGATCTTATTAAAGTTGATGAACTTTGTTTAGCTTGCTGTAAAGATGTTAAAGACTGGCAGAGGGCTAAAGTTGAAGAAGTTCAAGATGATGGAATTCAGGTATGTGTTTAAGCAGGCTAATATATGGAATATACAAGTAATAATAACAATTATTTAGTGAATAGCAAAAACAAACACAAAATTTATTACTACAGGTCTCATTCACATCACTGAGTAAGTTTTTACATGTTTAAAATTTAAGTTTAGGTTATAAAAAAAATGGAAAATCTCAATTTAACCAGCACCTAATTATTTGTATTGAACAAATACTTGAACAAAAAAGAAGTTTGAAATAATTAATTGTTAAAAAATACCTATAGAAAAATAACCAATTTAAAAAAATATATTTTACTACTTGCGCTACAAAGTTACATTTAATTAAAATTGTGCAGTTGTAACTATTCTTTTGAGGGTAAAATGGCATCAGCATAAAACTGTTGTCTGCCTAGTTTTATAAAGGATCATACACAAGGGTCCAGAAACGGTCATATATGCCAGTCATGTCCTAAGATGAAACTATTTGTCCTAAACGAGAAATTGGGATTTAGGATTTATTTTTTTAAAGAAGTAATTTCGGTCATTTCATTGACTCAGTGTTTGAAATCGGATTCCTTAATCGCCATTTTGCACTGTCTTGTGTAAGTTGTAATCACTTGTTTTTGTTTATAATCCCTTTCCTGTAATAAAACTGCCACTCCAGTAGTTTGATAATCCTGAGGGCCCTCCTAATATCTATATCAATGCCTCCGGGAAACATTGGCTAATGATCGCTAATCACTTTTTATAGGACCGCAAAAAAATTTCTGTGGCCGTATATTGGTATGACGTTGGCGTCGTCGTCGTCCAAAGACACATTGGTTTTCGCACTCTAACTTTAGTTTAAGTGAATGGATCTCTATGAAATTTTACCACAAGGTTCAATACCACAAAAGGAAGGTTGGGATTGATTTTGGGGGTTATGGTACCAACAGTAAAGGAATTAGGGACCAAAAGCAAGCATTTTTGTAACTTCCAGTCATAACTTGTGTGTTAGTGTATGGATCTCTCTGACATTGTACCACAAGGTTCCATATCACAAAAGGAATGCTGGGATTGATTTTGGGGGTAATTGCCTCAAAATTTTAGGAATTAGGGGCCAAAAAGGGGCAAAAAACAAGCATTTTTCTAGTTTCAGGACAATAACTTGTGTGTAAGTGTATGGATCTTTCTGAAATTGTACTACAAGGTTCCATATCACAAAGGGAAAGCTGGAATTGAGTTTGGGGGTAATTGCCGAAACGTTTAGGAATTGGGGGCCAAAAATAAGCATTTTTCTAGTTTCCAGACAATAACTTGTGTTCAAGTTTATGGATCTCTCTGAAATTGTACTGCAAGGTACCATACCACAAAGGGAAGGATGGGATTGATGAGGGGGGTAATTGCCTCAATATATTTGGAATTAGGGGCCAGAAAGGGGCAAAAAACAAGCATTTTTCTAGTTTCAGGACAATAACTTGTGTGTAAGTGTATGGATCTTTCTGAAATTGTACTACAAGGTTCCATATCACAAAAGGAAAGCTGGGTTTGAGTTTGGGGGTAATTGCCCAAAACGTTTAGGAATATGGGGCCAAAAACACATTTTTCTAGTTTCCAGACAATAACTTGTGTTCAAGTGTATGGATCTCTCTGAAATTGTACTGCAAGGTACCATACCACAAAGGGAAGGCTGGGATTAAGTTTGGGGGTGATGAATCATAAGGGGGTTCAAAAAATTATGGGGGGGGGGATTTTTTTTTTTCCTTTTTTTTCTTTTAAAATTTTCCATTTTAGGTTGGTTATTTCTGATTTATATTTAAAAGCAAATAATAATGATATGGTAGGAGATACACACCAAACAGGAAGTGTAAATTATTATATAATAAGTATTGTGCAATAGCAAGAAATTTTCAATTGCACAGTATTGCACAATAGCAAGAAATCTTCAATTGCACAGTATTGCGCAATAGCAAGAAATCTTCAATTGCACAGTATTGCGCAATAGCAAGAAATATCCAATAGCACAATATTGCGCAATAGCAAGAAATTGTCAATTGTACAGTATTGCGCAATAGCAAGAAATATTTAATTGCACAGTATTGTGCAAAAGAAGATACTTCGTATAAATTGCTTATTTCTTGACCAATTTCAATGGGGTTTTATTCTTGAATTCTTGGGGTTCTTTAATATGCTGAATCTAACCGTGTATTTAGTTTTTGGATTTTGGGCCCGGTTTTTAAATTGGTCCACATTGAGGTCCAAAGGGTCCAAAATTAAACTTTGTTTGATTTCATCAAAAATTAATTATTGGGGTTCTTTCAACTTCTTTGATATGCTGAATCTAACCGTGTATTTAGATTCTTAATTTTTGGTTCCGTTTTCAAATTGGTCTACATTAAGGTCCAAAGGGTCCAAAATTAAACTTAGTTTGATTTAACAAAAATTGAATCCTTAGGGTTCTTTGATATGCTGAATCTAAACATGTATTTAGATTTTTGATTATGGGCCCAGTTTTCAAGTTGGTCCAAATCGGGGTCCAAAATTAAACTTTGTTTGATTTCAACAAAAATTGAATATATGGGGTTCTCTGATATGCTGAATCTAACCATGTATTTTGATTTTTGATTTTTGGGCCCCGTTATCAATTTTGTCCACATTGAGGTCAAAAGGGTCCAAAATTAAACTTTGTTTGATTTCATCAAAAATTGAATTCTTGGGGTTCTTTGATATGCTGAATCTAACCATGTATTTAGATTTTGGATATTGGACCATAATAGGTGAATGTCCAATTTAAAATTTTTAAGTTCTTAGACCACATTCATTCTGTGTTACTAACCTATGCTGTGTCAAATATTTAATCACAATCCAAATGCAAAGCTGTATCAAGCTTGAATGTTGTGTTCATACTTGCCCCAACTGTTCAGGGTTCGACCTCTGCGGTCGTATCAAGCTGCGCCCTGCGGAGCATTTTATTACCTCTGGTTTTAATATTCACACCTGACAGTGATCACAAGCTCAGAATAATATCTTAACAAAAATTGAAATTCCCTGACAAGTGTATTCATTATTTAATTACTTTTCAGCAAAGACAATCATCAAATCTGATTTAAAAATTAAACCTAAATTTACGGAGAAAAAAGTATTTTTTTCATGTGCTTTATTTACTATATAATATGCATGCGTGAAATTGTCTTCAGCAAATTTAATATTTAATCGTAAAATGCAAATGTAATGCCAAATTAAACGAGTGCAACTATTGTCTGTTACATTCAAACACTTATAAAGGTAATAAAATAAAAAAAAGCCGGTGATTTCCTGTCAATTTGATAAACAAAACAAATCCCGGAAATGAATCCGGAATTATTCGTACTTTAACTTTATCGCAAACTTCCGGTTTTAACTTTTGTCAAATCGAAAGAAACGTAAGCAATGTCTGAGAGATTTACAATTTTGAGTCATTAAAATCATTTCAATTTTAAACTATTGCCTTCCCTTAACTGTTCTTCATGGTAATGGTAAGACATTTACTTAGTAAATGCGATGAAACAGCAATACAAGTTCGTTGATGCTATGAATCTAGTTAAGTTGACATCAACAATTTGGAAAGGGGCACCAACTTTTCAATCATCTCAAAATGACCGAAATTGTGTGGAAAAATTTCCGGATCCTTGATCATACATTATATTGTCATGGCCAAAACAATTGCCTGCTTCAAAGTGATAAACTGCAAGAAGAGTAATTTATAACACATATGTTTTTGTATTGGCATAGACTAGAGAATTCCCCATCTGATTTATTGAAAAGTGCATATGCTGAGTTAAAAATGATTGAGAGTAAAGCTCAAACTAGCTCCAATAACTCGTGGCTCTCTAATATCATTTTCTACAGCGAAAAATTGGGTATTGACCTAAATATATGTAAAAATTTAGGCAAAAATTAATTTAAGAATTTACTGATAAAAACAGCTCAAAATAAATTTTCAAAATGATTGGGAGAAAATGTGAGATTTTTATTTACAGAATCAAGGCAAATTGGACACTTATTTTTCATACAAGAGGTCATTTGACTATGAAAATTATTTAGATTTAAAGCACCCCCAAAAACATTTGTTAACAAAATACACTCAGCAATCACTGTTTAAGAATAGAAACTGGCAGACACGAATGATTTATCAATGTATGTGGTAAATATGAAATATTACCTCGACATGAGAAGATATGTTTATATTGTAATTCAAATTCTATTGAAAATGAAATGCACTTTCTTCTTGAATGCCCTCTTTACAATAACCTCAGAAGAGATATGACCGATTATATCAAAAAATACCCCAGTTTAGTTAATTTAAACAGAAATGATCATTTTACATGTATCATGAGTAATGAAGATAGCGGTTTTTTTATCTATTTTATGTGCATACCTTGATAAAGGCCTGCAACTTAGAAAATCAGAAAATTAGTTAAATACTCTTAATAGATAGCAAAATTACCTCCCCTTGACCACTGACCCTTTCCTCATGCATTTGAACTATTATTTTATGTTTCTTTAATCACTCTGTAATGTTTATGTCATGTTGTTATTAATGTTATGCTCTTAATGGGCCCTTTAATTTGGAAAAAAAAATAAAAAAAAATTGTATATTGTATAACCGAATAAAGTTACTGTCGTATGGTGGTGATAATGTAAATGTAAATATATGATGTGTTTTACAGGTACATTTGATAGACATTGGAAATAAAGAGGTGGTGAAAAAGACTGACCTGAGAAAGATGCCTGAAGATATTCGCAACTACCCACCGCAGGCTTATCTTTGTGAACTTGATGATATTAAACCAGTTGATAATCAAAAGGAATGGTCTGAAGACACAGTTGTTTATTTCCAGGGTTTGTTTTACTATATTGAATGTACATGTTTTTTTTACAGCTCTTCTATAAAAGCATGCAAAGCAAACCTTTGATCAACTTGCTTGCTATGTTTGCTTGGATGTTTGCAAACAATAGGTAGGCGGAGTTTCAGGCTGTTTTGTATATACTGGAATTTGATAAGACAATAAAAATTGACATGCAATGAAGTTAATGATTATTGTCCAATAAAATTCCAGTATATATTAAACAGACTGAAACAGACTACCTACCTTTTGTTTACAAACATCCAAACAAACATAGCAAGCAAGTTGATCAAAGGTTTGCTTTGCATGCTTTTATAGAAGAGCTGTAATGAAAATTTATAGCCAATATTTTAAAATGCACTGAAGTAAAATAATAAAATGGGGCGGGGGGATGGGATGAGAGGTAATGTTACCATCTCTATACTTTTATCTAGCTTTGGATAAGAAAGATCATTCACATCACATTTACTGTTTTTAGGGGGAATCTTAAGGTTTATGATCCCTTCTGTGGATGTATTATGCAATTTCAAAGTTTTATAATATCAAAACAGCAAGAATACTGAATAAAAGATACACCATTTTGTACATATACTAAAGGAAACGTCGTTCACAGAAAATGTATTTATTGTCTTAATTGAATTTTGTGTCAACTCAATCCAAATATTTTACTTAAAATCCACAGACTTTATTACAGAGACTTTGGCTATAACATTTGAAACCTAAATTACTCGCTAGTTTATCCATGGTGTGCTAGCGTTTATTCTTTACAAAAAGTCCTCAACAACCTATATAATCCAAAAAACCTTGTGCTGAGTCATTAAAGTCAAGGGTGCCCTAGAAAGTGTACTTGAATTGGTCTATAATATATTTGTAATTGTTTTAACTAATATCTTTATTTCAAAACTTGTTTTAGGGAAATCATTGCTAACACTGCATGCAGTAATCCCCATTCTATTTAATACATAATTGTCAAATATAAGAGTACACAGGGAAAGGCTGTGGATTTTCTATAAAATTCCCATGTGTTTAGCATTTAAACAACAAAAGGGTACACACTGTGAAAGTACTTTTATTAGTGGGTATCAATTTTTGTGGTTTTAACAAAAGTTGCATGTTGGTGGGTTATGAAATTTGTGGATTTTAGTCTTCTGAAAAAATCCAAGTGAAGAATTTGCAGCCATCATAAACAAAGATTCTTGAAAATAATCATATGTTGTTTTATTATGATTTGTGGACATTGTAAAATAAGTTGTTTGTTTTCACTTACTGACAACATTCATTAAATTTTTGATAAAATAATTGTTTCAGAAATAAGCTGATTCATCTATTGCATACAAATTGTCTGGATTGAACGAAATTGCATATAGTAAACATTTTAATTGTTGCACACTTGTGATCAAAGGTTAAAAGTTGTACAGTTTAGGTTTTTTTGGGGTTTTTTTTTTTGCCCCTGCTGCGCCGGAGGGGGCATTAAGTTTTACCCTTGTCCGTCCGTAGATCCTGAATTTGGTTCTGTTCTCTTACTTTAGTTTGCCTCAATCAAATGTTATGAAACTTACACATAATGCTTAACCACAAAATGAAGATCAAGTTTGAATTTGGGTGGCATCACTTTTATCTTTCTAGAGTTATGCCCCTTTACCCTAACTTAAGTTTGCCTCAACCATATGTTATGAAACTTACACACAATGTTTATTACCATAAAACACAGATCAAGTTCGAATTTGGGTGGCGTCACTTTTACAGTTCTCTAGTTGTGTCCCTTGCGTTATATGCAAGCTGGGGCATCATCTGTGTTCCATTGACACATTCTCCATTTATTAAAGATTAAATCCGTAAAATCCTGTCTGAAGTTGTATATATAGGTCATAGTGTGTTTGCAGATATTCAATAAAATTACTTACACAGTAATCCTTAAACAGTTGTAAAGATCTTTACATTTTATTACTGATCTTTACCTTTGTTCACTTCAATAGTATGTGTATAGGAGATAAGACGTTGTTAATTAGTCATTGTTGGTTGTCCTAGGGTTATAGTAAGGGAAGTTTCCGTATAACACTGGCTCTTAAATGGTGTTCCAAGTGCAGGAGGTCATGGGTTCAATCCCTAGCCTGGTTAAACCAAAGACTTGAAAATTGGTATTTGTTGCTTGAGCTCTACTTAACATGTAGCATTAAGGAGTATGAAGAAAGGCTTGCAGGAAAAATTTGTCCTGGCATTGGTGATATATTTTCTTTTAGGCTGTTACTTTGTTGACTAGCAAGTTAAAAACCTTGCTCTATGTGTAATCTCGTACAAAACAGGGTTCATATTCATATCACATTAACATTTTCTTGTCCGGAATATGCATTTAATTTGCCACTGGACGTTAAACTGCCAGCTGTCATCATCATCATCAATGTGTCTTTTGCATTTACTTCCACATGTTCCTTGCATTAAATTTTCTTCTTTTATGAAATTTCTTCTTGCTGATGATGTGTAAATCAACTGTATGGTATGGTTTTAAAACGGCCTCCTTGGGAGTTAGAGTGCAATTGTAGATGATAGTGTAAAAAGTGTAAACATATTGAAGGAAATATACAGGACATTGAAAACTGGCTCAAATTGTTTTCATTCTTCATAGTTGTCTAGTTTAATTTTACAACAACAAAATGTTTGTTTATTGGAAATTTTGATATGAGAATAAATCAAGAGTGGAAACTGAAAAGGTCTTCAGTAAGAAATTCTGATATGTGTATATTGAAATCTAAAAGAAAGCATCAAACAAATGAATTTTAGATTCAAGGAACAACATCTGTCTCATACTCGTATTCTGTACAGTTTAATACAGAGATATAATTCCTTTATTAAGGTGGTACCTAACACTACAGGGAGATAACTCTGTAAAAATCAGCTAAACGTTTTAATCACGTTGTATTGTTAAGGAAATATTAAGCTTCTCAATGATCAAAATTAGTGTTTGTCAAACTGCTATATAACCAATGAAATTTTTCTGATAAAGTGGTTGGTTCAAATTTTTTGAAATTTTTATATTTTTGTCAAAATTTTATGAAAATTAAACAAGCCAAATTAATATTAGTCAAGGTGTTGGGAACCACCTTAAATACCTAAAAAGTAACCATAATTCCATATACTTTATAATTTCAGATGTTTGTACTCCTGGTGAAGAAATGGTGATCTATTTTTGTGATCGTAATGAAAATAAGTTAAAGGTTTCTCTGTTTGATGGATCTCTGAAGACACAACAGGAGCAGGATCAACAGCTGGGTGTACAGTTAGTAAAACTTGGCTTTGCTGATTATATACCAGGATCTATAATAGAAGAGATAATCATGGAAGAAGAAAATACAGGTTTGAATAAAACTTTAAACTTTTATTATAGCAAATTAAAAAAAGGCTCCATTCATAATTACGGAAGCCCTCCCTCCTCTATGATTATGTGTTTTTCACTTGATGGCCTTCTTAAAGTTTATTTTAACAAGGATCTGAAATCTTTGGGCATATTTGTATCAAAGTGAATATGTCATCATTTATGTGTTTACTATAAAAATTAATTCTGATGACCCCACTAACAGATCAACATGGCTTTCTTTAATTAAGATTATAACAATGGTTAATCTTAATAAGAAATTTCATTAAAAAATGTGTCAAAATCTTAACTGCTGTAAAAAAATATTAGGAAATGTTAATGTGTGATTAAGATATTTACACTACTGCTCATTTGAATTATACTTTTTCCACCTTTCCACCCTGGGAAGCCCAATCATGTCCGTTCAAATTTAACAGAAGATTCAGTACTTATATTGAATACCGTAGCGTTTCTTATTTTTTCAAGACATTGTCTAATAAAATCTTATGATTTAAAAAAGAGAAATGGCATGTCCTGATGTCCACTTTAAAGGGTCATATGGGACATCTAAAAGTATGACCACGCCCACCAAGGATGGGTGAAAATGGCAAAATCCATGTGAGCTGTAGTGTAGTTGAGGATCCGCCATCAAACATGGCTGCTACTTGCAAGTATTTATTTTATTGAGAGAGAAAACATGAACAGCAAAATGATTTAGCCTTAAAGAACAACTTGAATGGTCTCTGAAAGATACTAGATTTAGTTGTGTGTGTTTACATTGTCTCTTCTCTTTCAGAACCATTGTTTAATGAGATGTCATTACACAGGGAGAATTCTTATGGCAGCACAGATGGACAGGATACAAGTGGTAATATTTTGGTTATGGAGAAGAAAATCCATCTAGAACTACAATTTGAATTCAGTACTGTTGAATGCTATTTGATATAAAAATATGGAAATGTGGTATGATTGCAAATGAGACAACTATCCACCAAAGTTCAAATGAAGTGGATGTTAGCAATTATAGTAAATTTGTTAAATCACTTAACATTCATTGTTATCCATCTTGCATTTATGTTCTTTAAATAAAAACATCTTTTAAGCAACAATTTCTATAGCACCTATGCTACAATTCAATGGAATTCAAATTTATGGTTCTATTATAAAATAAGGTTTAAAAGAAGTATAAGTTATATACATATATGCATATTCAACTACTTATACATCCTTGGCTTAATAATTTTTGGATTGAGCATTTTTGATTAAGGTTATCATGGTTATTGCAGAAAAACCCTTCAAACCCACAAAACATTGTTCAAATGTTGTTTTATGACGAGATTTATTTAATGAAGAGTACTTCAGTATTCTTTTGAAATATGTTGGCCATTGTTTAAGCATTCATGCATTTCAATTGCAACTGCAAGTATCATATTAGGGTTTGTTAAGCTTTAGTGATTTGAATTTTGACATTCTATCAGAGTCTGTTTCCTAAAATTTTGGTTGGATTTTTCTCAGCAACTGCAAATCAAAAGCTTTCTGTAATTTGGTAAGCATGCTATACTCTGTGATGCATTTAAAGGTTCAACCCTCACCTAACCCCCAACCTATGAAATTTTGGTTTTATTTTTCTAAACTACAAATCAAGACTTTCCTAAATTTGGAATGAACCTTAATGTGAGCCTGCTGTAATGTGTGATGTGTTTAACATCCATCACTCATCAACTTCCTCTACATCAATAGTTATAGGGGGATACCATTAGTTAGTAATATCTATTGCTCACAGTTCAACTTGTTTGATGTGCAATTAACAGTTGCCTACCTTTACAAGAAATTAAAGGTTTTCCCTAAGATCTTATACCTTTAAAAGTAGAAAGTTTGACCACATATAATAAGATAGATTTTTCTCACTGCATAGTGGAAAAATTACAATTTAAATGATTAATTTATGCTTTTCATCAATATTTTTGACATGAACTCAACTTTCTAAAATGTTGCCTAAGATAATTCTAAGATTTGCAACTGTTTATTTTCCAATTGTTTTACAGCTTTGGACGATTCAAGTATGTGCCCCGGTGAAACCACCACTGATGTTTCTACATACCCAGAGGACTCAGAATTAGAGACCACTGCGTCAGATAGTTTTTCTTTTGTTGATTTTAAACCAGTGCCAAAAATAACAGGTATTGTTTAACAGAAGGTTTTCATTATAACAATTCAGTAGACTAATGGCATGGGCAGTTTAAATACTTTATAAAGGTTAGAAGTGGTATGATTGCCAAGGAGACAACTATCCACTAGAGACCTAATAATGTAGAAGTAAGCAACTACATGTCACTGTATGGCCTTCAACAATGAACAAAACTAATACTGCACAGCTGTCTATAAATGGCCCCATAATGACAAATGTAAAAATAAATCAAATGAGAAAACTTAATGGCCTGATTTATGTACAAAACAATGAACCAAAAACAAATATGATTAACAGCAACATATGACAACCACTGAACTGCAGGCTCCTGACTAGGGACGGCACATACAGAGTGTGCTTTTCTTTTTGTATAATTTGTGTCAACATTCAACCCACATGTTGTATCAGGATAGGTAACAGAGGCTCATAGAAAATACAAGGAGAAAATAGATATATTCTGAAATCCAAAATGCTCTTTAACATCTTGAATTCATTTCAAGTGCTTCAAAGATTAAATATCCAAGTCTCTTAGGAAATTCAAGATCAGTATGATCAGTAACTTTGCTACCAAAAAAAACCAAAGAATTATAAAAGTTAATCTGATTTTAATGGGTAAAAGTGTTTAGTTACAGACCTAAAAATTGATGGAATGACTTTCAGTTAAGAACAGTCACAGAAAGTGCACAGTAAAGAAAAAGGATGATTCATGTTTTTCACAAAACAATTGAATATTTTACAGATGATTTTGATGGAATACCAGCAAAGAAAGGGGAAGACGAGGAAGAAGATGAATTTTATGATGCTGAAGATGAAAAGGAAGAAAGTCAGGTTGCTGAAGAGGTGGATAGAGGCGGTGAAAAAGTTGAAATTGAACAAAAGTTAGGAATAAAAAATGGAGATGAAAATCAGATAGGGCCAAACTTAATAGAGCCTGAAAAGGAAAATCTGTTGAAAAGTGAACAGTTGCAATTGGAAATACAACCTGAAAAGAAAAGTTCAGAAGAAATTGAAACCAACAAAACAGAAGTCCAACCTGAAGATGGTAATCAAGAAGAAATTACACAGAAAGAAGAGCACCAATCAGAAGTCACTGAGGAAAAAGATTTTAAAAGTGAAGGTAAAAATGAAGTAAATATAGAACATGACAATGAGAAGAAAGATGATGCAGAAAGTGACGAAGAAGACACCATTAAATGCCTTAGCGATGAAGAACTTGGAGAGGAAAAATCAAAACCCAGTCAAGATATAGGAGAAATAGACAACAGATTAAAAGAATGCTGTATTGTTGAGGAAAGTAATCAATCAAAAGAAATAAAAGATATCAAAACTGAAGGTTCATCAAAGTCTGATATTGTTGAAACAGATCAAAATGAGGACCCAAAACATATTATTGAACAGTTTATAAAACATTCAGTGGAAGAAGTTGCAATTGAAAAGTATAAAAAAGAAATGGAAGAAAGAGAAAAAGAAGATGGAACTTCTGCAGTTAACAACAATGTAGAAAAGGATGATGATGACCTTGTACAAGAGATTGATAAATTATCAGTAGAAGATCAAAAGGAGAATGTTCAAAAATCAACTGATGAAAATTTGGAGAATATTGAAGATATCGAGAAGACTACCGAAGAAGGAATTGAAATAATAAAGAAGGAGGAAGTGGAAGAAGATATTGAGCAGTCTCCAGATGAAAACCAGGAACTAAAAGAGAAAGACCGGATTAATGACACAGAGTCACACACAGATAGTGCTGATGCTAGAGAAGAAGAAGAAGACATTGATTTTGTTCAAAAAGAGGTTGAAGAACAGCGTACAGGAAATGATGTTAATACTGATGAAATCAAAGATGAAGACAATGATGGGGAAACTCTAGACGAAGAAAATGATATAAATGATGGGGATAGGTCACAGGAGGAAACTCTAGATGAAGTAAAGGATAAAAGTGATGGGGATAGGTCACAGGAGGAAACTCTAGACGAAGAAAAGGATAAAAGTAATGGGGATAGGTCACAAGAGGAAACTCTTGATGAAGAAAAGGATAAAAGTGATGGGGATAGGTCGCAGGAGGAAACTCTAGATGAAGAAAAGGATAAAAGTGACGGGGATAGATCGCAGGAGGAAACTCGAGATGAAGAAAAGGATAAAAGCGATGGGGATAGGTCACAGGAGGAAATTCTAGATGAAGAAAAGGATATAAATGATGGGGATAGGTCACAGGAGGAAACTCTAGAAAAAGAAAAAAATAACGGCCAAGCTGAAGATACTACAGGGAAATCTGATGATCTTATTGAGGACGAGCAAGCCTAGGATGAAGTTAAGAATGTAAACGAAATGGTTCAATAGTAATGAGCCAAAAGGCAATGTAGAAAAAAATAAGTACACATTGAGAAAATATCTGTCCTAATGGACATAATGACAATGTATTTTTATATGAATTAGTTTACTTTTCCCTTTATGGGTTTGTTTGTTTTAGAATTTATTTTTGTTAACAAAAACAATGACAATTATTTCACATGTAGCATAATATGTGTTTGAAGGAAGAAGGACTATTCACATTTTGTTACAGATGGTGCTGCTTATTGTATAGTGCTTTTGTATTGTTAATAATGTCATATTAGATAACTCATAGTAGAAGAAGTAGTTGTAGATTGGTTTATGTTTTTATGTGCAATGGGGACAGATTTTACACCAGAAGAAAAGGGAAGTAATTTTTTAAGGCAATATGATGAAATAGATAGCTTGATCTTTGCTGTTTTTTATTTGCAAATTCTTTTCACAAAAATGAGGTCATTTTATAACACAGTAAGCTAGCTGATTGTGTGCTTATTGCAATTATGTTGGCAGCAGAAACAAAGATGTTCATTAGATAGGCATATGTTTTTAATTTTTAAATGGATCCATATATTGCTTCAAATAAGTTACATTAAAACAGATGCATACATTGAATATGAATATTTTCAAATATCGGACAATATTGTGAACAGTAAATTTGGGCATTTTTATTGATGTTGTACAGAAATAGGGGTTATTAATAATGTCAACCATGTACTTAAAGGGTTTTTAACTTGAAGGTTTCAGCTTTTGATAAGAGAATTTAAAAATCTAGCTAAATTCAAATTGATTACAATTTCCATTATGCAATTTACATTTTTTTTTAGGTTAAAGCAAGGTATTTTCAGATGTATAGCATTTCTTAGTCTCTCTAATATTTGCATACAAGTTTTTATCATTAGAGCATTGAATGGTTTGACAGGTAAAGAGATGAACTTATAAAAATGTATCAATAGCATAGAAAAATTGTTAAATATATGGAAGAACATTTTCGACAGTACTTAAAAAGGTGATGGTTAGACGCTTATCATCCAGTGGCTAATATTTCATGTATATTAAAGATTAAAACCACAAATAGAAACTGAGTTCAGATGACACATATTGAAACTACATGTATGTACCTAAAAGGAATGAACAAGTGATTGAAGGAAGTTGGTAATTTAAGTATTAAATTGGGAGTTGAACTGTAAAACCGTATACGATTTAGAACTTTCATTTTGGATAATTAGAGGGAGGTATTTACATTATAAGAGGAGTGATTTAGAAAATACAATCTTAGAACCAAATATTTGTGCAAGTTTTTATAAAAGAAAAAAAATTGGGGAAAGAGTTCAGATTTGAAGGCACAAATTTGGCATTGCAAATTATAATTGATCAGTTTGTATTGCACAAAAAACATTAGTATCAAAAGACCTGCACTCTGTCTACAGCTTAAGATTTTTCATGGTACTTCTATGGATTTAAATACTACACAATTACTATAAATATTTTGATAAACAAAAAATTCTTCATCTGTGACATTTGCACATGTTTTTACAGCTTTTATGTATTGATGCATTCACTACTGCAAGTATATACAATTCAATGACCTTAAAATTGGGCATAAGGGGCATAAATACTTAAATTGTTTTATCAAGAATTCATTTGAGAATTTGGTTGTGTCTCATTATTTTAGTTGTATCAAAGGATTGTCCTATGACATGACATGACATGACAGTAAGGTTTGTGTATATTAATATAACACCAGTACTGGTAATCATGTCAAATTTCAGATTGCAAAGGATAGCAGTTTATGAATTATGAGTTTCTTATTTTTTTATATTCAAAGAAATTTCTGTTGGTAATCATGTGACCTTACTGTTTTATTATCACAAAGTTGTTATTAAACTGTTTATCTTACCTTTAAGTCATTGTATTTTTAGGACATTAGTTTATAATAAGCTTATTACCAATTGCGCTACCAATGACTAGTGGAATTAACAATTATGGAATGGCCACAACCACCAACCTGAATATATACAGCATTACAAGCTGTAACAAACCCAGAAAAATAAACGGAATTGAAAATAAATTTGGTGTGTCCAAAGCGCTTTTTTGGATTTAACTTCCATCAGGAACGTGCAGAAAATTTGGAAGCCAATTAAATTTAGATACCGGTAAACAAATTTAGTTGAGAGAAAATTACTATTCTGGCTATAGACAGCCACATGTAGTTCAAACCAGTTGCACAACTTAATCCCAATCTCATCCCACTAACATGAGAAAATGATTACAAAAAACAACATCAGACTAAACATCAGCAAGAAAATTGCAACAAATATAGAATAAACTAAAAATCGGCTGAAGAATTACAACAAATATTTGATTTGATTGATTATTGAAGTCTAGAGGCAACAAAAACTGAAAAACATATAAAGAATCAACTTAAGACAAGGTTTGCAAATAATGGTCAATATTTCTATTAATCATTCCTGTTGGAAAATGTGGTCAATTGAAATTTTGAGGTGATATAACCATAAAAAGCCACTCCCTATATATAGCTACATGTTCAATTATTAAAAGTGTCAATTTTATCATTTGAAATGTTTTCTATCATTTAAAATATTTATTCAAACGGTAGTTCAGGAAATGGTTTCTTCCAGGTTGGTTTGATGAAACACATTCCTCTCTGTAGTTATAGTCTTGGTGCTTTTGTCTCAAGATGATTGTTTCATTGGCAATCATGCCAGAACTCATTATTTTTAATTTTAGTAACTTAACTCTTTTATTTCTCCCAGAGGCAAATGCCCCAAAAAAGCTTTACTGCTTACGATATGCATTACAATCATTGCATTTTCACTGGTTTTGTTGTAGTCGTCTTTAAAAGTATAGAAGTTTAAAATAGGATTTTAAGGTTTTGTTTTAATCCTTGAATGCCAATGTGACAATAATATGTTCTATGTAGGAAGAGACTGATACTGAAAGAGGTTAAGTTATGCCTCCTTGTATGTCTGTTGGTTTTAAACCATACACCACAGTAGCCATAAGAGTAAAGGTTTACTATAACTTTCCATTTTCTGCATTAAGATGATTTTGATTCACAGTTAAATAAACCAGAAAGATTTTATTATTTTGAGAAGTCTAAATATCACTTTTTAGCTCACCTGGCCCATCCAAGTGATCTTCTCATCACTTGGTGTCCATCGTCCGTTAACTTCTACAAAAATCTTCTTTGAAACTATTTGGGCAAATTTAACCAAACTTTGCCACAATCATCATTGGGGTATCTAGTTTTTATACGACCGCAAAAATTAAAAAATTTTTGGTCGTATATTGGTACGACGTTGGCGTCGTCGTCGTCGTCTGGCGTCGTCCGAAGACACATTGGTTTTTGCACTCTAACTTTAGTTTAAGTGAATTGATCTCCATGAAATTTTACCATAAGGTTCAATACCACGAAAGGAAGGTTGGGATTGATTTTGGGGGTTATGGTACCAACAGTTAAGGAATTAGGGGACAAAAAGGGGCCAAAAATAAGCATTTTTGTAACTTCCAGACAATAACTTGTAAGTGTATGGATCTCTCTGACAGTGTACCACAAGGTTCCATATCACAAAGGGAAGGCTGTAATTGATTTTGGGGGTAATTGCCTCAAAATTTTAGGAATAAGGGGCCAAAAAAGGGGCAAAAAACAAGCATTTTTCTAGTTTCATGACAATAACTTGTGTGTAAGTGTTTGGATATTTCTGAAATTGTACTACAAGGTTCCATATCACAAAGGGAAAGCTGGAATTGAGTTTGGGGGTAATTGCCCGAAACGTTTAGGAATTGGGGGCCAAAAAGGGGCCAAAAATAAGCATTTTTCTAGTTTCCAGACAATAACTTGTGTTCAAGTGTATGGATCTCTCTGAAATTGTACTGCAAGGTACCATACCACAAAGGGAAGGCTGGGATTGAGTTTGGGGTGATGAATCATAAGGGGGTTCAAAAAATTTAGGGGGGGTGGGGGGGGGATTTTTTTTCTTTTCTTTTTTTCCTTTTTTTTTTCTTTTAAAATTTTCCATTTTAAGTTGGTTATTTCTGATTTATATTTAAAAGCAAATAATAATGATATGGTAGGAGATACACACCAAACAGGATGTGTAAATTATTATATAATAAGTATTGTGCAATAGCAAGAAATTTTCAATTGCATAGTATTGCACAATAGCAAGAAATCTTCAATTGCACAGTATTGCGCAATAGCAAGAAATCTTCTATTGCGCAATAGCAAGAAATATCGAATAGCACAATATTGCGCAATAGCAAGAAATTGTCAATTGTACAGTATTGCGCAATAGCAAGAAATATTCAATTGCACAGTATTGTGCAAAAGAAGATACTTCGAATAAATTGCTTATTTCTTGATTAATTTCAATGGGGTTTTATTCTTGAATTCTTGGGGTTCTTTAATATGCTGAATCTAACTGTGTATTAAGTTTTTGGATTTTGGGACCCGTTTTTTAATTGGTCCACATTGAGGTCCAAAGGGTCCAAAATTTAACTTTGTTTGATTTCATCAAAAATTGAATTATTGGGGTTCTTTGATATGCCGAATCTAACTGTGTATTTAGATTCTTAATTTTGGGGTCCAGTTTTCAAATTGGTCTACATTAAGGTCCAAAGGGTCCAAAATTAAACTTAGTTTGATTTTAACAAAAATTGAATTCTTGGGGTTCTTTGATATGCTGAATCTAAACATGTATTTACATTTTTGTCGAGCCTTCGACTTTTGTCGAAAAAGCGAGACATAGCGATCCTACATTCCGTCGTCGTCGGCGGCGGCGTCCACAAATATTCACTCTGTGGTTAAAGTTTTTGAAATTTTAATAACTTTCTTAAACTATCCTGGATTTCTACCAAACTTTGACAGAAGCTTGTTTATGATCATAAGATAATATTCAAAAGTAAATTTTGTAAAAAAAAAAATCCATTTTTTCCGTATTTTACTTATAAATGGACTTAGTTTTTCTGCCAAGAAACATTACATTCACTCTGTGGTTAAAGTTTTTGAAATTTTAATAACTTTCTTAAACTATCCTGGATTTCTACCAAACTTGGAAAGAAGCTTGTTTATGATCATAAGATAGTATCCAGAAATAAATTTTGTAAAAAAAAAAAATCCATTTTTTCCGTATTTTACTTATAAATGGACTTAGTTTTTCTGCCAAGAAACATTACATTCACTCTGTGGTTGAAGTTTTTGAAATTTTAATAACTTTCTTAAACTATCCTGGATTTCTACCAAACATGGAAAGAAGCTTGTTTATGATCATAAGATAGTATCCAGAAGTAAATTTTGTAAAAAAAAATCCATTTTTTCCGTATTTTACTTATAAATGGACTTAGTTTTTCTGCCAGTTAACATTACATTCACTCAGTGGTTAAAGTTTTTAAAATTTTAACAACTTTCTTAAACTATCCTGGATTTGTACCAAACTTGGACAGAAGCTTGTTTATGATTAAAAGCTAGTATCTAGAAGGAAATTTTGTTAAAATTTTGTTTGATTTTTTCCGTATTTTACTTATAAATGGACTTTGTTTTTCTTCCAGTTAACATTACATACAGTCTGCAGTTTAAGTTTTTAAAACATTTATTAGATTCATAAACTATCCTGGATTTTTACCAAACTTGGACAGAAGCTACTAACAATCAAAAGATAGTATAGAGAGGAATATTTTTATTTATTTTTTTCCTCATTTTTGTTGAGCCTGCGATTAACAGCAAAAGTAGGCGAGACACTGGGTTCCGCGGAACCCTTACGAATTTTTGATTTCGGGCCCAGTTTTCAAGTTGGTCCAAATTGGGGTCCAAAATTAACCTTTGTTTGATTTCAACATAAATTGAATATATGGGGTTCTTTGATATGCTGAATCTAACCATGTATTTAGATTTTTTCATTTTGGGTCCAGTTTTCAAATTGGTCTACATTAAGGTCCAAAGGGTCCAAAATTAAACTTAGTTTGATTTCAACAAAAATTGAATATATGGGGTTCTTTGATATGCTGAATCTAAACATGTATTTAGATTTTTGATTTCGGGCCCAGTTTTCAAGTTGGTCCAAATTGGGGTCCAAAATTAAACTTTGTTTGATTTCAACAAAAATTGAATATATGGGGTTCTTTGATATGCTGAATCTAACCATGTATTTAGATTTTTTATTTGTGGGCCCCGCTATCAAATTGGTTCATATTGAGGTCAAAAGGGTCCAAAATTAAACTTTGTTTTATTTCATCAAAAATTGAATTATTGGGGTTCTCAGATATGCCAAATCTAACCGCGTATTTAGATTTTTAATTTAGGGTCCAGTTTTCAAATTGGTCTACATTAAGGTCCAAAGGGTCCAAAATTAAACTTAGTTTGATTTTAACAAAAATTGAATATATGGGGTTCTTTGATATGCTGAATCTAAACATGTGTTTAGATTTTTGATTTCGGCCCAGTTTTCAAGTTGGTCCAAATTGGGGTCCAAAATTAAACTTTGTTTGATTTTGAACAAAAATTGAATATATGGGGTTCTTTGATATGCTGAATCTAACCATGTATTTAGATTTTTCATTTTGGGTCCAGTTTTCAAATTGGTCTACATTAAGGTCCAAAGGGTCCAAAATTAAACTTAGTTTGATTTTAACAAAAATTGAATATATGGGGTTCTTTGATATGCTGAATCTAAACATGTGTTTAGATTTTTGATTTCGGCCCAGTTTTCAAGTTGGTCCAAATTGGGGTCCAAAATTAAACTTTGTTTGATTTTGAACAAAAATTGAATATATGGGGTTCTTTGATATGCTGAATCTAACCATGTATTTAGATTTTTCATTTTGGGTCCAGTTTTCAAATTGGTCTACATTAAGGTCCAAAGGGTCCAAAATTAAACTTA